GTTTGAAATTTTGGTTAAAAATCTTGTTTTTCTTGCATCAGTGGGGACAGCAAAGATTAGTATTTAAGAAATATTAGAATCTTTTTTGCAGTAAAATTACATTGATTTGGAAATTCTTGCATAAATCAAATAATTGTCAGATTTTAATGAAACTTTCAGGATTTATTCACAAATGATTGAAATCTTAGAAACTTTTTTTTTCTAAAATCTTTCTAGAAGTAATTTTTTTTTTTTTTTTTTTTTACATCTGTTAGCCTCTCCCCATTACTTAATTAAAAGAAATTCAAGAAATTAAACTTTGTCCCTCTTCAAATTTATATTAGCTAAAAGCAGTACTCCTTGGAGAATGTAAATCATCATCATTTTTTTTTTTTTTTTCAAACATTTACTAAAAATCTGTTCTAAATAATAAAATAAAAAATGCAATCAAACAAAGGCATTATTTAATTAAAAAAGCTTTGCTTTTATAAATAAGATATATTAAGGACACTATTGTCTTAAGAAAAAAAAAATTTGATGAATAATGAATTTTTCCAAGATTTGTTTTTATTTTTTTTATATCTTATTTAGAATACCTTTTATGTTTTAAATATTTTTAATCCTTTAAAATTCTGTTTTAATTTTCCCTTTTAGATGATATTATTGTTGAGTGAAACTTATATTTACTAATCATAAATTGAAAAGCTTAGTACAAATCATCATACACCAATAATGTTGAAAGAATTTTGATTTTTTTTTTTTTTATGTGTATAAATGTGCCAATGGTCAATCATACATGACATTATCAGAAAATAAGTGTGATAACTATTGTAAATTTAGAGCTAAAAATTATTTTCATTAAATCTCACAAATACATTTATATATGTAGGGTTATAGACAGATTTTTTGTTTCATTTTAGTATCTTAAAATTTTTATTTAAATTCATACAGATGGTATAAACCTAATAAAATTTGATTAAGTATTTCTAATAACAATCTAATTCAATACAGATACATTATAAGGTTCAGAATCTAATTTATACTTTGTACTATATTCAGTTTGAAATTGAGATGTATTTTAATTCAATGATGATCCCAACTATCAGTATGGCAAAACTTTATATGAATGGGTGATGAAAATTTCCAAAAAGGAATTAATTCAGTTACTTTTTTAACACCTAAAGCCTCCAGAGAACAACATTAAATAAATATCAATCTGTCATCAAACTGTCACCCCCTGCAAATCCTTAAATAAACATTGCGATGAAAGACAATTAAAAAATGTGACCAATCAGCTATTTTAACACAAGAAAAACAAAAAAATACTCCTTCCAGTCAATTTAAATTAGTTTTTGAAATACAGTGGAACCTCGGTTCATGAATTTAACTCATTCCTGAAGGCTGTTTGTAACCTGAAATGTTCTCCAACTGAAACTATTTTTCCAATAGGAATCAATGTAGAGAAAAAAATTCACATTACAATAAAATTGGAAAAGAAAAGCATGCCACAACACATGAATGTATACAACATGGCGGTCGACTCAGAAATTATACCATTTGGGTTAACTCAGTTTGGCAATGTTGTTCGATAACCAAGGCATTTTCATCTCAAATTTTCTGTTTGAAAACTGATTTGTGAGACATTTGAGAACCGATGTTGCACTGTACAACAAAGTATTTTGCTTATTGACCTTTTTTTAGGATCTTAGAAATTTTGGTTAAACATCTTTTTTTTTTTTTTCTTTTTTTTTTTTTCCTCCTGTCAATGCAGGACCATAATTTTGTACTGGAAATTTGAGTGTCTTTTTGCAGTGAAAAACACATTGATTTTAAATTTTAATGAAACTTTCAGGACTTATTCAGAAACAAATCATTTTTTCAATGTTTTTTCTTTAGAAAATCTTTGTAAAAATATTTTGTTTTTTTTTTTTTTACATTTGTCCCCCCCCACTGCAAATCATTTAATTTTATGAGATTTTGAGATATTCTTTTTTGTATCACTTAATGTTTAGATTAGTTATAAGGACAAATCCTTATAGTATTTAAATTATGGAATTTTTGTATTTTTTATTTTAATTTTAGCATTCAGAACAGGTTTTTTGTAACTGTCCGGTTTGACAAAAAAAAATTGGTAATTAACAATCTGCTCTGAATCATAAAATAAAAAATACAATAAAACTAAACCACTTTTTAATTAGAAGCTTTTAATTGATTTTACGAATAAATTATACTACGGACAAAAAAATTTCCATGAACAATGAATTTTTACAGAAATCATTTTAATTTTTTTTTTTAATTTTTGATTAGAATAATTAATTAAATCTTTTAAAATTCTGTATTAATTTGTAGCAATCATTTGTTGTTATGAAATTAAAACTGTATTTACAAATCATAAATGGAAAACTTCATCTCACTTCAATTCAATGACCCCCAGTATTTTAAAAAGAATTTTGAATTTATGTGTGTATAAATGTATTGATCTTTGTAAATACAGACATCCATGCACAACATTATCAGAAACTTAAAAGTGGTAACTATAATAAATAATTTATTTATTATTTTCTAATGAAGCCAAAGTACCTAAAATTCAATAAAATACTAGATTACTGAGAATATTAAAAAAAAAGATTACTGGTTAGTTAAAAAAAAATTACTTAAAAAAGGCATTCCTGTTGTATCCATCAAGTAATTTTTATAGTTATGTGCCTCTTATTTAAATTTACATTGGGCTGTCAATAAATCTGTCAACACCTCATAAAAAAAACATCCACCTGTGTTTAAAAAATCTTTTTTGCAATATTTTAAACTACAAGTAATATTTGTTTTAATTCAGATTAATTAAGCTTTAAATCAGCTGATCTTCCTTAAATAAAGTATCCAAAAGAAAGATTTTTTTTTAATAAAGAGAATTGTGTTGACAGATTTGTCAGTATGGATGATTTTATAGATATTATTGATAATTAGAAAAAAATGATAGTTTTATATATATATTGCCAGATTAGGAATAGTGTACATTTTAATGGTTGCACATATATGAGAGAGTGTTGAAAAGTTATCAGATATCCCACTTCTCAAAATCTGACCAAACATCAGAATTTTTCTGAAATCCCTTCTTGGAAATTTTCATCACCCATTTATATAAAGTTTTGCCATACTGATAGTTGGGATCATCATTGAATTAAAATACATCTCAATTTCAAACTGAATATAGTACAAAGTATAAATTAGATTCTGAACTTTATTTTAAGCTGAGGTGTGATAATGTGTCTGTATTGAATTAGATTATTAGAAATACTTAATCAGATTTTATTGGGTTTATAACATCTGTTTGAATTTAAATAAAAATTTTAAGATACTAAAAATGAAACAAAAAATCTGTCTATAACCCTACATATATAAATGTAGTTGTGAGATTTAATGAAAATAATTTTTTACAGATTTTGAACAATTTTTCTTTTAATTACTATTTTACCATAGTGAGTAAAGCCTGGTACAAATCTAACATATTCTTACATAAAGTAAGTAAAGGATTGTATAAGATTATCTTTGTGTACACTTTTAATGAATTACACATGCATCTCAGAAACTTAATTTGCACAAAATTTAGCAGATGTGAAAGCTTTTTATTGCATAAAAACTTTATGCATCAATCTATCTGGATTATTTGATGACTTCTTTTTTCCACTGTGATAGACATTTAAAGGACATATATGTAGTTTTTAAGCATTGCTGAGTACAGTGTTTTTTCTCTCCTTGTCTTTGATAAAATTCTGCCCAAATATATTGCCAACAAGGAGTACCTATCAGAACATTTTAGATTTTTTCATTTATTGTCTTTTATTCTCCTTTTGAAATGGTCTCCAGCTAAAAAGAAATGCCTTTTGATCTTGTAGATTCTACAGCTTTTATTGTCTTTTCCATGAACATCATTTCAGAAGATTTTGTTATCAAGAACTGAAGTTTTTTTTTTTTTTTTTTGATTGTGATTTTTGCAAGAATTGATCTACCATTTTGAATGATATTGTCTTGTATCTATGACTAAAAAAAAGAAAACTATTTCTTTAAAAAATTCTGTCATTGGGAAGATCAATTGAGATAATACTTATATAGTTTCAAGTTTTGAGATTTTCTTTCAGTGTAACTAAAATCCTTTTCATTTTTGTTAATATTCATACATTCTGAGATAGACCAATGGGGTGACAAGTGTAGCTTCAGTAGATAAAGTATACATTATTATTATTATTATTGTCTTCATAATATTTTACGGACATGTTTATAATTCAAGCTTGTTAATTTCACAATATTATTGCTGCAAAGTATGAAAAATCTGCTATTTTTTGAAGTTTTGCTCAGATGATACCAACATACATTCAGCTGTTTATAACTTTGGATGCAGTACTAGTCCTTTTCCTTACTTTTGTTTACGATTGGTCAGTAGGATATAATTATGATTTGTTGGTTTTGTGAAGTATTAACCCACTTCTTAAATTCCTTTATATTAATTGTCGTCTTTAAAGTATGGGGCATACTTGAAGCATTTTAACAAAAAGAAAATCTAATGTTGTTCAAAATATAAATAATTGTTCTTTTCTCAGTATGTTACTCAAACTTGAAAACTAATGCATTGTTTTTAAGAAATATTATACAACTTAGACTAACACTTTATTTAATATATGATCATTTTTATTTTATTAGTGAAAAAAAAAGACTCCTTTGAAAATGCTTAACACAGAATTTAAGCTTGTACTATTACAATTAAAGAGAAAAAGTGCTATTTTTGAATTTGATTCAACAGACCCTTGTCCAAAAAGTATTTTGTGCTTTTTGTTAAGTAACTGATTTTGATAGCTTTCTTTCTTTCTTTCTTTATTTTGTAAAGAATCCATTAATTGCTTTTGTTAGTTTTATATATTTGTTTGGCAAATGTTTTCATGAAAAATATTTTTTTTATATTTATGGTTAGTGCTATGTACACACAGTATTTATGTTAAGTAATGTTATTTTTTTTGTTATTCTAACAGAATCATCACATCAAAAAGATGATCTCCAGAAGCAACAATCGGGTGATAAAGATGAGCAGTTAAAACCACTACAGCTGAACCCTGACAAAATTTGGGAAAATTCACAGGGGCCATCATGGCCACGACTTAAAATTGTGAACAAACCAGGCGTGGGTGACAGCCTCCTTCATGCCCGGCCTAAGGTTCCCCTACATATGCAACCAAACATCAAACAGGTGGCCGAAGCTAACTACCAGCATAATATTCTTCGTCTAAAGGATAGGTTAAAAACTGTCCAGTTGGCTGATGCAAATGACGATCCACAGCCTCATCCAGTAGCAGGTGCAAGTTTAAAAGACCTCAACCATGCTGCATATGCTGTGGACATCAATGCTGCTGCCGTACCAAATCAGCTTTCAGGAGCTGTTCATAATTCGCCAACCCCACAGCCACCTCCAGGACATCCTATTAAACATGATGTCACATCCAAAAATCCCAGTGCTGAAAAGCAGCAACAGAAGGTAGATAATTCAAAATATGTCCCCATGTATGATATTTACTTTATTGGTAAGTACAATATCAGTTTCTACTCTATATATACCATCAAATAACAATGCTACTATTTCTTTGGGTTTAGCTATATAATTTAATAAGTTATATAGCTAAACTGGTAACTTTATTTGTATTGATGAATTGCTATTTGTTTTCTTGATTGCTTTGTTAGATTTTAATTTTTGCATCTCAGACTGTAACTCAAATAGATTTCTTAACTTTTCAGTGAATAAACAGTTTAATAAATGACATTGTATTGTAGAGTAGTTTTCACAGTGGAGGCTTGTATTTCACTAAGTCGGTTCTAAAAGGGTCTGACGTACAAAACGTTAGGAACTTGAAATAATAGTTAATGACGCAGCAATCTAGTTGTGGTTGTTGATACTTCAATGTCCGACATCGACTGACTCACTCAACTCCACTGAGCCCAACTGGCGACTGCTACTACTACTACTTATTATGTGTGGGAGAGTCTATTACAATAGAATAGGTAATGTTCTAGTATAACACATTGGTTAATAAAAATTTTAGTTCGTTATTATTTAAGTACTTTTTTTACATTATATACTGTACATGTAAGTTGTCATATAATTGTTCTGAGAGATAGTGAAGTGGTTTCCCATTATCTTCTCTGTGTTGTTTTTATTGAGATATCATCTCTAGTTAGTTGGCTATGGAGTTCATCTGCTCTTTGATAAATCTTATTTCTCTTATTATTGGATTGTTAACCTCCCTTCTCATACTAAAGAGTGTTGTGGGAAACTGTTTAATAACTGACAATCCAACTGATTGACTATTACATTATCTTATGACTATTACATCCCTCCCATATCAGTTGTAGGATGCATATGGAATAGACCCCAGACCTGTACTAGTGAAGCATATTACCAACATCTGCATTTAAACAAGAGGTTTATGTTCCCCTGGCCCAGCAAGATGAAGCATTAATAGTAATGAAATTCTAGGCTCATTGTTGGCATTTAGGAAGCTGTGAGGAGCCAAAGGAGAGATACAACACAAAAACTGTGAATACTTTAACATTTTAGGATTGTAAAATAACTGTTTTATGTGTTTTTTTTTTTTAAATATCATTTGATCTAGCAAATTTTGAAAATAATTTAAATAATGTGCTGAATTAGTAAAATTAATGATAAATTCTTATAAGAACACCTTAGCTCTTGAATACAATATTTAAAATATCAACACTGAAAAACTGAATAGTAACACCATGAAATTAGTGTCATTGCACTAGCAACAATGTTAATTTTTTAATCAGACTGAATTAGTGCATCTATGCTTTGGATTGTAGGTTTATATCAGTCATATTTACTTATTGGGTTTGTTCATATATTTGATTGTGGATTTGTATGCTGAGGTTGTTATAAGAATTCAGTTATTCACTGTTCTTGCCTATGGGGGTGGAGATGCAACTAGTGAGAATTGAACCTCCTAAACTAGCAAGCCAGTCAGTAACTAACCATTTTTCGATGGTGATACACCCATTGCAAGATGATTATTTCCTAGTTCATTTTTATATTCTTTGATATCCATTTTTGATTAACTATTTGTGTCTTGTTCAAGTATTAAATCTAAGGTTATAATATCAAAAAATTTAATGAACTTAGAAACATATGCTTTATTATACACTTGAAAAATAATTTTAAAGTTAACAATGAAAGATGATGATTGGTTGCTATTTTCAAGATTTGTATTACTAAATAGTGCTTTATTTATACTTGTAAGTGTTATTAAAGATATAATTATTTTAACTCTCATAAAAAGAAAATATTAACTAATGTTTTGTAAGATAATTAGCCGTTAATGTTATATTTTTTGTTTGCATATAACATTAGTCTGGGTGTATATTTTTTTAGTTGCTGTGTACATTATTTAAATTTTTTGTTTGTCCTCAATTTTTGCTCTGATTAGAGAAGTTTAACTGTTTTTAATAGTCATATTTTAGCATGACCAACTTATGGTAATATATGTTTTTTGTTATGATTTTGTTCTTTTTGTTATGACTGACCTTTTAATGTTTGCTTTTTACTGCTCTAATTAAATTTTGTATCCATGTGAAAAAATTTAAAAAAAAAGAGAAAATGAGACAGCTATATCTAAATGTTCTGTATATTTGTAAAGCCTCTTAAATCATTAGGCTACATTGCAAAACTCTTTTCAGCAACATTTCTATCCTATTTTATCATTGAAAAGGGATAATATGCTTATTTGCAGAGGTTATTATGTAATAAGAAAATAATTTTGTAACTAGCAACACCAGATCATTTTGTTCATAATAAATGATAATGCTGAATTTGGTTTCTCTTTTCATACTGACATTGAAGCTGTTTTTATTAAATTTTTGGTATTTTTGAATGCCAAAAACAATAAAAATTTGTTTTTTTATTTTTGAGATGCATTGAGTATAATTAATGGGTGAGTTCTTGGTATAATCGGAGTATCTGTGGAAAGATTGCTGGTCTCATGCTTGGAAAATTGTTTTAGCCTGAGAACCTGACTATTGAGTGAAAGGGTTGTTTAGATTATTTGGTCTTTCATTAGAGCAAGCAAAAGAAATGAAAGCAAACAGTTGTGATGAGAAGGAAAGGAGTGTGGGAATAGGATGAAACAGAAGTGATTGATGACAGTATCTAATGAGAAAATTAATATCTCTGATAAGAAGAGATGGCCTTTTTGCCCCCTTGTTTCTCAGCAGCCATATTTTGGTGTCTTTCTCATCAGATGATTACTGAATTATCACATGCAGCTGAATGCAAGACAAGAAAAAACTGCTACTTATTGTTAGATCATTGGACTGGAAAGCATGTGATCAGTGGTTCAAGTGATATTGCCCATCAGCAAATATAAGAAAACCTCCAATGGCTTGTATTCCACAGGGAATGTTGTAGCTTGGAACAGAATCCATCCACCAAAGATGGAGTCTTGTTGTAGCTTTTCATATCTTTCTTTTTGAAAAAAAGATATCTTAAAATGGATGAATTTTATATATGTACCCTTTGGACTCTCATCGTATTAATTATTTGATAAGATTTATATATATATATATATATATATATATATATAATATCAGTGAACTATGTATTTTTGGATAAAATTTATTGGGGATATATTTTTACTGGGACACAATGTGTGTATATATATATATATATATATATATATATATATATATATATATATATGTGTGTGTGTCTGTTCAGCACACACACACACACTCTTCATGGGGTTGTGTTTACTTACACTGTTATCTATATCCAGAGAAATAAATGGACTTTTCTATTCCTATATATGCATACATCTGGAAATAACAAAAATGAACTTAAGCTCTATATTTCTCAATTAACCCAAGTAAATGATACCAATTATCATCTTTGATGTTAAATTGACTTCTTTTCATGCTTTTGAATGTTCTTTGGCTTTGCTTCTGTATAAATTGCTTCTGTTTGTTTGATTGAATTATCATTTTAAGCTATTAAAAAAAGGATAATTTCTACAGTGGTATAAAAAGAAGGAAAACAAGAAAAAAATTGAGAAATCTGGAAATGTCTTTGTTTAAAAATGAATATGAGACAAAATCATTACTATTATAACATAATCTGCTCATGCATTAGCAACAAATTATATAATAACATTGTTTCTGGGAATAATAATGGCAAAAAAAAAAAACAAGATAAAAATGTTGGAAGAGAAGTGATTTCAACTTCTTTAATTATTAAAAAAAAGGAAACAGTGTGAAATCAAAAAGCAAGATAAAAACTAAATTTTGATATTTTCTTGTCTCAGGTAAATCTGGGACAAGTCAGTATTTAAAGATTTTGTCACATCAAACTTTTATGGTTTTTCTGGCTTAGAAATTTGGTTTTTAAATCTTAAGCTTTGTTGCATTTTGGCTGCTGGTAAGCTAAGCTATTCATGTAACTAATCCAATTATGAAAAACTTAGGCTTTCACAAATAGTTGATGTTTTTGTTTTTTTTTAATTTTCTTAATAATCCAAAGTACACCAAATAGCAGAGTTAGTGGAATAAAAGTTTTATAGCTGAGATGGATAGTAGTTAAAGCAATGGGCATATACTAATAAAAGGTTTGTATTAAGAAAATGTAGATGTGTTCAATATGATTGGATCAGACATAGCTATGATTTTCAAGGTATAGTATTTTGTAATAAATTCATAATTTTTTGGAAAGCCACAGAATTTACGAATGATAAGTTCATTATTTACATGATATGTTCATGTTAGCAAGTATAATTGTTGTTTATTTTCCCTAATCACTATTTCCTATGAGGGAATAAAAAACATCTAAGAGGGAAATTTTGAGTTTAATACAATATTACTAAAATAGATTTGCTTTGTATATATTAATGTAACAGTTCAAAAGCTTCCTTCTTGCCCTTTTGCGTAGAATAGGATTTTGAAATATTCAATATAACAGCCATATGTTCACATGAAAACTTAGAGATATGCTTTAAGTATGTATATTTACCTAAACTCTAAAGTAAATTTACTGAAAACTTGCAAGAAAACAAAGGAATACACTCTTACATTCTCTACAGAAAGTGATACATCTCAGATTATATCATAGGAAATGGATTAAATCTGACAATTATTTTAATATATTTTGTTATACGTTATTTTTTTATGGATACACTTATTTAAGTAAATTGGTTCAGCTTTTCTGTAAATATTAGTTTGATACAATGCTTTTGAAACATTACTTTTACTGTTTACATGAGTCATCCAACTACATGTGTATTTAAATAAAAATGTTAGTTGTTCTAAGAAACAGCTGTTATAAAACTTTATTGTAAATTAGTTTTCACATATGGTTTATAAAGTGATAAGCTGTTCCGAATAATGCATAAACTATGACCTCTATTGTTTTTTTAATTTATTGGTAAGCTCAGGTATATATTTGTGGGGGATCTAACTTGTATGCTTCTGTTAATAACCTAGAAATAAATATTACATCTATTGTTTTTATTTTTGTGTTCACTATGAT